ATGGAGGCAGCCTTCTTTGACACAGTCGTTTACAGCCATGGAGGCAGCCTCCTTTGACACTGCCGTTTACAGCCATGGAGGCAGCCACCTTTGACACAGCCGTTTACAGCCAACGAGCGCTGCGAGATAATACTGACTGAATTACTTCCACAGCATAAAAAACAACAACAATCAAACAACCCCCCCCCCAAAAAAAACCAACGAAAAAACCCCCAAACAAAACAAAAACAAAAACAAAAAAACAACAGTGACACCGGATCAAAATCTTCCTATTCGTGGAAATCGATCTAAAATCGCGTACATGCAAGGAGATGAAATATTGACCATTACACTGCTGACACCATACGGTCATAGTGAATGTTATTCATTATAATAATGTTAGTATGCATAAAAACGTTTTTCTTTTTACGTTTTCCAGTAGTTGGACGTTGCTTCTTAGATCTTTCTGTAATAAAGCATCCTATATCTTTCCATTCTGCCTGCCTCAGCTGTTTTGGTTTTTAAGTCTTATTTTCATTGTTTGTTGTTCCCCCCCCCCCCTTCCTCACTTTCCTCTCTAGATTTTTACCTCTGCACACTCTCTCCAGGCTTACACATCGATGAGTGTTATTATAATTGAGAACCGATATTTGAAATTTGATGTCTTAACGATGGAGGCAAAGGTTTCTTTATAGTATGAGTTAACTTTTCTGTCTGTTTTAGGGTTAACCATAAGTTGCAGTTTTACTTAGTATGCTTTTTAAAATCTTGCTTGCGATGCTGAGTAAACTACATGATCAATTAAAATAATACAAGATAACATAATACTTCATTATCCCAGAGGGAAATTTTCTTTGCTGTACAGGACCGTGTGGAGGTATACATAAAAAGTTAAGTTATATTATTATGTTACCCTCATTAAAATTCAATATATGGAAAGGGTAGAAAAGCGGACAAAAGGTACACATATCATATCAGATAAATCATTCAACCACATGCAAAAATTTAATTGCACGACCTTTAGAGTTATAAAGATACATACTTGAAAGAACAATACACATTGGTGCTTATTCTGACAATAGTCCTATGCTAAATGGTAAAAAAAACTTCTCTTAAATCTTTCAGTCTTTGTTTTTTTTAGATATATCTGCTGCTACGTGATCTTACAATTTGCGTGTAAAGGTATTATGATGGGTTGTTTATAATGCTTTTTATCTTGAATATACTTGTGTTAAAAAAAAGTATGCTTTGTGCAGGTTAAAAAGAACCCAATACAAATACGTAACATTTGTTATAAGGCAACGCAAACAGTTATAAATAAGACATTCTCTGATAGCAAGGAGGCTGTATTGGAAGGGCGTCTTGAGCCCCCAACCCCC